TTGAGTACTTGGTTCTCGTAGCTGCTTTGGGCTCATGCCACGTCAGGCCCCGTGTGGAGCTTCGTGCCTGCCTGTGAGCGCCGTGCCCTGCCTCTGCCTACCGTCTCCCTCTGGCGCTCCACGTACACCTGGCCGAAGGGGTCTGCCCACCCCAGATTCAACCAGGCCTGACCCTTCCGCACCCTCTCCTGTTGATGCACAGGTCCAACGCTCCCTAACACTGGTCCAAAATCCACCATTTACGCTCTACTTGCTAAGCAGAGCCCTGATTTTTGGGGGGGATTTGAAGCCCCTCTTTCTAAAGACAATCCTTTGGGGGCATGGGTGATATTCTTTCCAGCCAAAGCTTCTCTCAGCAGGAGCACAACTCCAGCCCCGATGTAGGGTGCTAGCCCGCTGGCAGGGCTCACCCGCCGGCAGGCTGTTTGCTCTGACCGCGTTTGGTGGTCTTTCCCAAGCTGGAGCCGCAGTACGGGGCTAGTGCTCACCTCATTCTGAGCTTGGTAGTGCTAATGCTGTAGCCTCAAAGTTAAACATCTGTTCTTACTTACTTATTCATTTATTCGTGTGCCAGGCCTGGGGCTTGAACACAGGGTCTGGCCACTGTCCCTGAGCTTTTGTGCGTAACTCTAGAATCCTATCACTTGGGCCACAGTGCCACTTCTGGTCTTTTTGGTGATTAGTTGGAGGTAAGAGTCTCATGGACTTTACTGCCCAGGCTGGCTTTGAACCATGACTCTCAGATCTCAGCCTCCTGAATAGGATTATAGGCGTGGCCACTGGTGCCCAGCTCAACACCTGTTAACATTAACATCTGCATTTACTCTGCCCCATTGCTCCCGTAAAGTTGACAGCTCACAGCACAGATGCCTTTCAGTCTGGTAGACCAGCGTTCCCACCCGGGCTCGAGGGCTGGCAGGTGTGGGCATGGCAACCACAGTCCTTCCTCTGCCTTCCAGAGCACGGGCTGACTCCCTGCTCAGCACAGCGGGTCTGTTTTTAAGTCTGAAATCATAACAGATCAAGGTGGAGGGGAGCGAGATGAGGCCATGTTCGGTCACTCTCTTGCGATGGTTGAGCTGTGCAGTAGGACAGGTGTGCCAGTCCTGCGAACTTTCTACCACATAAGAGGCTTAAAACGTCTGTTCTTGCCAGGCTTTGTGCCTGTGGAGTTAACAATTTAAATTCGAGTGTAGGATCCTTGATTTCCTCAATTGACTTTTACCATTTTAGCCCTCACCCGCTGTGTGGTTCTGTCCAGAGGCTGGTGCCATTCATTCTGTCCTCCAGTTGGTTAATGATCCTTTTGGCTCTGGACACCTTTAGCCTTGGAGAACTTGCCGCTCCTTTTAGGCCTGATTACTGACAGGGACAGGGAGCAGGGCTTTGCTGAGACGGAGGCGGGGCGCTGCCAGGAAGGTCTGCCACAGCTGCGTGTGAGCGGGGCGCTGTGTGTGAGCGGGGCGCTGTGTGTGAGCGGGGCGCTGTGTGTGAGCGGGTGGGTGTGTGAGCAGGGTGCTGCGTGTGAACAGGTGTGTGAGCGGGGCGCTGTGTGTGAGCGAGTGGGTGTGTGAGCAGGGTGGCGTGTGTGAACAGGTGTGTGAGCGGGGCGCTGCCAGGAAGGTCTGCCACAGCTGCGTGTGAGCGGGGCGCTGTGTGTGAGCGGGGTGCTGCGTGTGAGCGGGTGTGTGAGCGGGGCGCTGTGTATGAGCGGGTGTGTGAGCAGGGTGGCATGTGTGAACAGGTGTGTGAGCGGGGCGCTGTGTGTGAGTGGGTGTGAGCAGGATGGCGTGTGTGAACAGGTGTGTGATCAGGGCTCTGTGTGTGA